AGACAATGGAAACAGAGATATGTATTTAAACAATATTTCCCTGATATTTCCGTGCAAAGAAAAAATGTTGATGAAAAATATAAGGTATAAGGTAACTGTTTGATTTTAAGTTGTTTAAGGAAAACCAGTATATTAACAGTGTCAAAAAGTAGAATGAAACAAATACAAGAGAGCACATAGGAGTTTTCTGAGAAAGCAATCTTATTGTCTTTGGGTATTTTATTTTATTAAAATGAAAGACCATTTGATAATCTGTATGATACAAGCTGTTAAGAAATAGATCTAAACAGAGATCACGCATTCTGATGTTTTGGCCATTGATTAGTTGATCTAACAACACAGCCTTCAGATCAGTGACCATAAAATACTGTTTCAAAGAAAGACGATCATGCTGTATAAAAATCAATACATAAAACACACATAATGAAACGCTGCTCTCCGCTCATTAGTCATGCTCTCTGACAGGTCTGTCAAACAGTCACTGAGGTCTGTGTGTAAACGGCTCAATGTACAGCGTGTATATTTGGGCAAAATAATATGATCTTATTAGTTTTTACACACTACTGTATGTGTTATTAAAGACATCTGGACAGTGAAGTGAACCATACTTTGTCTGACACACACGCACACACACACACACACACACACACACACACACACACACACACACACACACACACACACACACACACACACACACACACACACACACACACACTCACCGCATCCTGAAAGCACAAGTATTGCCCACAGCTCTGAGACACTGCCTTGTTCTTCGCATATCCCACTGAAAGACAAAAGAACAGTGTATGTTAATGTCTGTTTGCTTTTCTTTGTCTTCTAACAATTTCCATTTTGCTATGTGTAAGAAATTACCATGTTTAACTATTAAACATGGGACTGTTTGAATGTGCCAAACCAGAAAATGCTGAGGTATCAGCTGACCAGTCATAAGCATCGACAGTGTGTCAAACTGGTTAAAATAAGTATATCAAAAGAAAGTATAATGTATTTAAACTAAATATGGAACTTCTCAGAAAGAATACCCCAATCTTCCTGATCCAGTGACCAGTGGTGTAAAGTAACTAAGTACATTTACTCAAGTACTGTACTTAAGTGCAATTTTGAGATACTTGTACTTTACTTGATTATTTCAATGTGTTGCTACTTAGTATTTCTACTCCACTACAATTCAGAGGTAAATGGTGTACTTTTACTCCACTACATTTACTTAATACCTTTAGTCACTTTACAGATTTTGATTAATGATGTGAAATATAATCAACACTTAAATAGACTTTAGTTCCACCTGGAGTAAATTCACAAGCTACACTGCAGTAAAGTCATTAAAACTAGCTGCACCTTTACCAGATTTGATAACACTTTAATGATCAATATTTATAATCAAAACATATCATATATATTATTCTGAAATTTACCAATTTGCATAATGAGTACTTTTACTTTTGATACATTAAGTATATTTTGATACTAATACTTTTGTATTTTTACTTGAGTTGACTGAATGCAGGACTCTTACTACGAGTATTCCTACACTCGGCTACTTCTACTTTTGACACAGAAAGACAATTTTACCACAGTAATTAGGGCTGCTCAATTAATCGTATTTTAATCGCGATTACGATTATGGCTTGCAACGATTACGAAAACAACATAATCGAAATAAAACGATTATCTTTTTATTATTATTATTTCTTTTTTTCAATACATTTATTTTTTGGGTTTTTCAGTTGAATTATACTTAAAGTTCAGGGTAATCAACTGTTAAAAACATACTGTCTACATTTTGTTCTCCAATAAATGGATGTTTTCAAAGTCAATGAATAATTGCATTTAATAATCGCAATTACAATTATTGACCCAAATAATCGAGATTATGATTTTTGCCATAACCGAGCAGCCCTAGCAGTAATTATACAAAATATGTTAAGGTGGAAATTTAAAGGGAGTATTTGACTTATCAGGATGAATTCCAAAAGGATGACTGTGCCACAGTTTGGGAGCTCTGACAGCAAATACACACTCCTTTAGTTTTAGGTTTATACCAGGGAACTGTAGGTATTGTTATCTTACAGGATTATATACTGATTGCAGTAAAAAAAGCATACTGTAGGTTGGATTACAGACCAAAAAAGCTTTAAAAGTTAATTAGTTAAACCTCCCCTTATTTGGAATAAATTAAAAAGCCAAAGCAATATGTCACATCTCTTACTACAATGGATTACACACATACACTACATGTTTTCCTCAGCAACTCAATGAATAATAACACTTTTGATAATATGATATTACCTCAGGGTGCACTTTTAAGCTTTTTCTTGAGCACTAACCTCCTCTAACTGCCTTCACAGAAAAAATACTGAATAAACTCTAGAAACAGACAAGGTCAGCTGTCTGTGAACACAATACAAAGACTAGTCCAAGGATCTCTATGAAGTAGAACATCATGAAACATGGTTGAATGCTGGTAAATGGACTTGAATCTTCCCTGGCTTCTCATAGAAAATGTTCTACTGATGTCAGCGACTGACAAGGAGATTCAATCAGGCATGGGAATTGATACTGATCAACCACCTAAAGTCCACTGACCTCCTCTGGGTTGGGATGAGTTGTGGCCGGAGATCACCACGGAGACGCCCCTCTCCTCCAGCCTGTCCTTCCAGCCCTCCACCACTGTCCTCGAGTCATCCTAAAGGAAACACACACAGAGTTTAAACTTCAACTGGGGTCTCATATTTTGTGACTAATTAGATCTGTGTGTTTATATGCGTACAAAAATAAACATACAGTGCTTGCGTCATCAAAGACAGACAGCTCCATGGTGCCAGTGTAGTCTTGATGTAATATGGCCTGCAGACATTCATCCAGCCAACAGGATGCATTGTACATTGGCATGACAATACTCTGAAAACACGACAAAACAGTCAAGTTACGCATGATGAAAGCATCAATCAGAATCAGAATCAGAATACCTTTATTAGTCCCACAGAGGGGAAATTTGCAGCGTTACAGCAGGAAAGAGCCACAGACAGCTTAGTGTTGCATATCTTAAATGCGTTAAAAAAGTACTAAGTTATAATATAATAAACGTTTGTTTATTATATTATAACTTAGTACTTTTTTAACGCATTTAAGATATGCAACACTAAGCTGTCTGTGGCTCTTTCCTGCTGTAACGCTGCAAATTTCCCCTNCACAGGGCATCAACGGACAGCTTAAAACTTAAAGACCTGAACACAGATCTAATTTTTGCTGGAGGCTTAGTGAAGCCTGCATATGTTTTGTGGCTTAGTCATTACTATCAGTCCCAGACCTGCCAGTTTACTATTGCTGCCACCCTCGTTCTTCCGCTCCGCGCGCCCGTAGGCCTCACTTTCCCGCTTAAAATGGCCTAAGCGATGTCTTCTGGAGCTGTGCTGAGTTGCCAGCATTGCAAACATGGCACAAAAAGGGAGTGCCTCTTTCAGCAGTTTCCAGCTTGCCGCATAGCGCACGAATTGTGGCTAGGCGCTAAAAATTCAGATGCACATATGCACTTTCTGCAACGTTAAAGCAAGTAATTAGAGTTGGGAATGCATTTGATGATACCACAGTCTATTCGAGCAGATCGTTTGCAGAAGATAGCTTATCGTGCGAGATGACAGAGACAGTCAGCCATATATAATATTCATAAACTAGCTCTAGTAAATAAGACTCTGAGAGAAGAGTAACTAAACCGTGCTTGTAGTGTCCAGGGCGGGAGATTCATATCTTTGATAGGCTTGTGGTTCGGAGAGCTTCAGACACGCCGCCGGCAGCTTTTTTGAAGCTGGAGTCTGGACGGCGTAATGTCTCTTTCACTTTCAATTAGAAGAGCCCCGAGGTGCCAGTCTCTCCTCTCCTCATCTTCCTGTCTTGCAGATGGAGGTTAATAAGAACCATTTGGGGAGACAGTCATATCCTCTGCCGTCTGCCTCTGTGGGACAGTTTTATCACTGGACTCAGGTTCCAGGACGAGCGGAAGTCTCCTGCAGTGACCTCAGCCTGCAGCTAAGCAGCTGATATTGCTTTCTGCACTATTGTGGGTTTCATCTGTTATTCTCCATGGGTGGACGAGCAACATTTAATAGTTCTGGAAACTAATTCAGAGTTAATGCGTATACAGGTGGCAAGTATAAGAAGTTGTTATTTGACCTTTCTAAAGATATTATAATCGCTCGCAAACCACTCAATTCACAAAAGAAAATCAGCATCAGAAACAGTTTATACAGGTAGGTTTACACTTACGAGAATTGACTAGGGTCGTGGTGCATGATGAGCTCTTCCTGGTGAAAGGGTCGTGGCGTATGTAAACACGATTAACGCACAACCAGACAAAACAGAGCGCACCAAAACACGGCATCGCAGCGCCTCTTAGCTTGTTACATAATTCACCTGTTAGGACGCTTTATCCAAAGCGACTTCATAGTCATACTCGTGGCAATCCCCAGGAGCAATTTGGGTGAAGTGTCTGCCCAGAGGACACAACGAGTGCTGACTGAGTGGGGTTGACTGAACTTGCCCCCTGATCCGAACACCAACGCACAACCCACTGGCACACGTCTCCCCTAGTGTATGTTAAGACATTACCTCATTCTTGGCTCTGTCATGAAAGCCCATTTCAGCCAAAAAGATGAGCTGTTGGAAATGTAAGAAAATATATCCTGGTAAGTCATTATTCACCACAACTTTCTTGAAATAATGCATAAAACTTAAATAGAAACTAAACCAAAATAATGACTATAATGCCTCATACATGAAAACGGTAAAATAACCATGTTGTATTATAGAAAAAAGGGTATGATGTCAAACTAACAACACAGTCATTTCTGATTAAGACAATGACGGATATTTTGAATTGCCTTATCAAATAATATGTTATTGTTTTCACGTGTTAAACTTTTTGCCTGGGAACACAATAACATCTGTTACTGATGAAGTTTGTATTATCCAATAAAACCTAGCTTGTAGCTCTGATCAGATTGTCTACCATTAACAATAATTTTTGGTAAATGCAAGATGGTTGAGAAACAAAGCTGGCTCATGTTAAAATGGCAACTTAAAATCAGCACATAACCGAATTGAGCTAATCAGGTGTATTATCATTTTCTTCATATCGCACATTGAGACCTATGGTGATATCTCAATGGGTGCTTTCATAGGGAATTGAGATTTTGGACCTTTTCCGGGAACATATTATCCAGAGGTGCTTTCTGTGGTTCACTGAATGGAGAGACTGATGGGGGTACAGAACAGTCCTGGAGTGGGCCTTAATCCATCTGAAAGCTGCAGGGGAAGGACAGATCTGCGGGGGCTTTGAAGTGGCGTACGGCTCCTTATTCGCTCAAGTCCTCTCCACTTGGTACCCCCAAACAGCCTGGTAGGCGTTCATTACCTTTTATGCTTGTGTGTGTGTGTGTGTGTGCGGTGCTGTGTGGGCAGGGAAGATATTATGGTTGAGTCATGCGAACTGAAGAGGTGAATGGAGAAGTCACCGGCGTGAAATTAGTTCGAAGGGAAATGTTCATAGAGAAGTCTAAATAAGGGAGCACTGGGGTCGTGACAAAGAAGGACAAACCTGTTAGCTCTGAAAGAGAATTTAAGTCCGCTGAGGGGATGATATTGGAGAAGCACAAGCAAAACATTCAGAGAAGTGTCAAGAGTTGATGAAGAGAATACTTTAACGGAAACATGTTCAGTGTCCTTACCGATGTCCCGTCCATGCCAAACTGAACCCGTTAACTCTGGCGTGTGGCACCTTAACGCAACTGTCAGCACAAAATCAAGATATGAAACTGCCATCTTAAAATGTGGTCCACCAAAAACTGATGACATCCATCGTTACTTCTTTCATGGTATTTGGCCCTTTCATCCTGGCGGCGCATTCAAATTCATGGCCGACTCTCACTGGGACAAAGCAATTCAGCCTTTCTCTCTGCTGCACTGTGCAATCTGCAGTGAGGTGTAAAGCTGCATAAGTGTTTTTAGATTTAAGCTGTAATGTACCGGTAAGTTGAATGGGGGCACATAAAAAAAAAATACACGAATGCATGTTACAGACAGTCGTCATAAAAACGTCCTCCTGGAACTTGAAGGGTTTCAGACATTTCGTTGGTAAGGTCACACATGGATCTTCGACAAATGAGAGGAATGGGAAGATAACTTCCAATTACAAATTGCATCCTGCACCTAACAGGCTCAGCCCTTGCCCTCAATAAATGGACTCGAGTCAATGAAGCGGCGTCGGACATGGACTATGTTATTGCAATGCCATGAACAAACCCAAGAGGGTAAACGGAGGCGACTGTCAGAGTCCGCAACACAGAGGCTATGAAAGCTCGATGGAGACGTGTCAACAGTTTGTACACGTTTGCGAAGTGATAAAAGATCTCGAGGGCATGCAAGCAAGACCAATCCACCGCACAGCGGAATGCCCGCTGACCTCCAAGACCTTCAAGTTAACGACAGGGTGCGACCGCCTACCGCAATCAGAAGTAGTTTCTGACGTAACAAGCTTAATTCCGGGACCTGGTATGGTTCGGCTAGTCAAAAAAACAATAAGTTGCGCAGACAGGGAATAAAAGATTGAAATTTCTTCCGGTTTCTCATAACTTTCTCTTTCACACATTAACTCCATCTGCTACGCTTGTACGGAAGTCAATTATGGCCACGATTTTATTTGGTTAACATAGTACATTTACGGATATTTAAAAGAATGATGGACGTTCGCAACAGCTCTGCCTGCACCCTCAGGGGAATAAGGAGCCGAGCTTATTTCTTGAGGTGGTCTGCGTTTAAGTGATGGGCAGGTAGAGGACTGACTCCTCAGCAGGGACATACGGGGGTAAAGACGGACTAACGAAACGGTGTGGTGAGCGGAAGACGACAAGGAGGTAAGCACAGCACTGTCTTCTGGACATCCGGTGTTCTTAGCCTCGCTCCTCTTCCTATACAAGCGACTCGAGTGACAGGGCCCAGTGCCTGGAGGGTGCGCAACCCTCGACTTAGCCAGCAGGAGACATTCCGGCAGCAGCGTGAGGTGGACATTTTAAGACGCATGTGGTGTGAACTTTTCATAGCATGCGTCCATGTAGGCAGAGCTAAAGTCACTTCATCCACGACCAGGATGTAGATAAAACAATATCCTGGCCTATTCTCAGGAACAATGTTGGATATATATACAGGGAGCAATGTGGTGCATTGGGAATGTGCGTTGGTTTTCGGGGCCACAGTTCAAACCCCACTGCAGGTCCCGCATGCCGTGTTGTCTGGCAAGACACTCCCCAATTGCCTCCCTGTGGGATTGCAATCCCACATGTGGATTGATCATTTAGTATTTAAAGTGTTGAGACTGTTTGCCATGTAGGCAGGGCACATAGTTGCGGGAAGTGGCGATGCCTATTATGTAGCGTCCTCCTCCGATTCGTGCTGTAAGGGACATATTGCTGGTGAAATCAAATTATTGTGAATTAAACTCCTGTCGGGAAGTCCTTGAGGCCCCGTCGGTGCGCGGAATCCCTCTTAGCATAGCACTGGTTACCATTCATCCTCTCCCTGCCTCTTCGAGACCAAACCTCCCATTAGCCATGTAAATTAAGAGTCACAAGGTAGACCGGCCTGCAAGCTTTGTTTATTTGGGCAATGTGCAAAGGGTTTAATAGAGATGTTTGTACATAAAGAGTTTGGATAAGATTTTTTCTTAAATTCACCATCTCGATGAAGAAATACTGACCGGCACTTTTAAGCAACTCTTCACTGCCACTATTACAACTGAAAATAACTGGGGCTGACCTTTAATAAGCGAAAATAAGCTCTTAACGGGGTACGCCACACACAAGAACCACTGAATTGGTGAAACGGTTTTTAGTGTCTATGGAGAAA